AATGAGTTGCTTGTCTTTGAAACTATCGGCATGGAATGGTAGCAATTGTAGAGAACCACTTGCGCGAATACGTCCATACCAACCTAACAATGTTTATGGGAAGTAAATCCAATTCATCCTGCCAATCTTATTATTGCCTCAACCACCATTTCCATCTTTATTCGATCCCTACCTGTTCCTCTTTCCACACGCGCATTTGTGTGTCTGCTTGCAGCATTGTGGTCATGCGTTTGTGCGCTTAGCTTGCTGTTTCACTCTTCACCTGATTTCACATTCACCGGTCTCCGAGGCTTCGTCTCTTATCAGTTTGGCAACCAACCATGGCGCATTCGAGACCGGCCGGCATTCTAGTACCTGACGGCCTGACTCCAGTCGACCTCTCATCCCTCGGAAGCTCGTCTTATCATTTTCGGCTCATTCTTTCCCCCCTAATCTACAAGACCAAATACACACACAGACACATACACACACACATTACCATGTTCACTTTCAGGCAGATTTGCTGTCTGCTAGACGAGACGGTGCGCAGTTGTTTTGCCACTATTTGACCGAATTTATCCCCTCTGTTTTGGATTTTGGGGCTTTGCCCGGCCAAACAGTGTCCATGCCAGTGTGTATGTGTGTACGGAGGGGTACATGAGTGTGCATGCATGACAAGCGTCCTGAGACATTTGTAGAGAGGTGAGAGAGAGTCGAAGGGATGAATGGGGTGGGAGGCTATTGATACGCATCGTCGGCCGACAGTATATTTGCAGTCTTCCTCGCCCCGTTCACACCCTTCATGTACCTCATTTTTGCCCACATGTATGTGTATTTGTACGTTTTGTGTGCGCATGCAGGGATCTCATGGTCTGTCCCTTGTTCTCTGTCTGTTCACTAGCCTCCCGAGTCTAAACATGTCCGTCTGTCAGGATTCGCGTGAGGCATTCCACATTGGAGCACGAGGCAGAGCAAAAGGTAGGAGAGAAGATACAGACTGGGAAAGTCAGAAACAGGGCTCGAGGGCGAAGGAGAGAAGAAGAGAGCGCAGCATACCTCGCAGCCTATCGGAGAATCCACCCCCAGCCTCGTTGGGATGTAGGCTTTGGCCACCGGTATCGAGGGCCGTCCCAGACATCGTGGAAGCCAATCACAATCAGATGGCCGATACTTTTCCCGTATTTGTCGTAACCGTGGCCGCCGTTTTAGCCGCTCATGGGCAGGTGTTCCGGCTGTCTGTCTGCTAATACGTTTGTTTGTCAATCACGATGTTTCAGCTCGAGGATACGTCGCCAGCGGCTCACTAGATTATCCC